ACCTACCCTGTAAAACAACAAGGCTGGGGCAGCTGGCAAAACATCACTCAGAGCCCAAGCTATGGCAGAAGCCGTGAATGCAGGCAAGCGGGCATTCAGGGCCTGGCAACCCATGCAAAAAACACAGGACCCACATGCCCAAAGCTGCGTGACCAGTCTGCTGTGGTTCTGCAACTGCGCAAGCTCTGGGGTAACGTGGGTTGGGGTTTTTTTTGCAGTGTTGTGAAACTTTGGAAAAGCAGCCCCAGCTGCTAGTGACTGGGTTATGATGACCAGCCTCAACATACCAGCTTCTGTTCTCCAGTGCAAAGCCAGAATCTCTCTGGAATAGCCACCTGGGAACCCCGACCTCCAAAACAGGCTGAAATGTGGGCAAATAAGCAATTATTAGCCATGCCATGTCAAGGAAGGGTCTGATGGATGTGCTGCATTTGTGGTGCCTTTCAGAAATGCAGGCTGTTCTGCCTCCAGCAGGTTTTGGACCTTTTCCCTCATCTCTGTTCATCTCGAAGCCTGTTGACTTCTTAATCTCCAGCTGGGGATCAAATGCTGCTCCCTTTACTTACATGACTACATTGATTGAACTCAGTGGGAAAAGTCAAGTTATGGCAGGCCAGGATGCGGCTCTCAAAAAATTAAAACCAATCGACTGGGATCTTCAAGGAGCTCTTGGGAGACAGCACAGCCTAAATCAATGGGATTTAGGTGCCAAACAACCTTGGCTCCATGGGAAATCCCAGCCATAAACTGGATGAAATACTGAGGACCCCGGGGCTCTGCACCTGTCACAAAAGGCATCAGGAACTCCTGCTATTTACAATTTCTTTCATCATTAGCATTGACTCCATGGCTGAAATGAACAAGGATTCACACGAGAAGGGACTGGAAGGGATCCTGTATTTCTAGGATGAGGGCATTTTAGGGGGAAAAAATCCTTTTTACTCTCACCGTAAAGCAGTGATTCTCAACCAGCGTGCTGCAACACCCTACGGTGCTGAGATCCTACAGCCCTGAGATCCTTTCAAGGTGCAACAGGTGTGCAAACACGCTTCACAAGACAAACCCAGAGATTTCAAACAGGAATCCAGAGTGTTACAAACTTTCTGACCTGCTGTGGTCTTTCTGAGATCTTTGCAATGGAAAAAACTGCTCTATTACTTTTCTGTAGTCAAAAAGGGGAGAGAAAACTAACCTACGCCTCCACTGTAACGTGGGGATTGCCTTCCCTACCTTGCAGGGATGTTTGGAGAAGAAAATCTCTGCCAAACGCCGTTCGGGGAGATACTCAGAAACCATGACCGTGATCATCGTAAGGGTCACATAAGTAAATCCATCAATATCACAGGACCCTTATTTGCCCCGATCATTTTAGAGATCAAGTTTTACCGGAGAATGTCACCAGTTAATGGCGTTTGCCATTCCTGGAGTAGATCTCTGTACCTAACCCACTCGTAGACTCACTTGCTCAGAGCTGGTAGTTTGCCTCTTGTGAATACTTCACTCTGAGGTCTTGAAAGCTTGGTTTCCCCCTGGGCTTATACATACGCTTGCCAGGGCAGATTTATAAAGCCCAAGGGACAATTTGCCCACGGTCTGGCAGAGAGCCGGGGGTGTGCCAAGCCGAACAGAGGGACAGAGCATGCCCAGCTGTAAACAAGAGCTTACGATGACAACAGAGGTTTACGTTGGATTAAAAGACCTCTTAACTGATGTCTGGCTGTTAAAAATATAGGCAGCGTACACCGTGGACTAGGAAAGGGCGCTAAAAGTTTATTCTCTTCCCAGACTTTAGACCACCTGCTGGCCAGGGTTTCTGCAAAAGAGCTGTACCAGCTGCAGGACAGCTTCTAGAAATAATAGGTGACTATAAAAAAGGGTGAGCAAAATTTCGGCACGATCACCGATGTGAATGATGGAAGAGGACTGGGGTCATGGCGTCCACCCTCCGAACACGATCGTTAGACAGAGGGAGTATTAAGTAGGACGCACTTTGCTTGATCCCAAGGTTTTCCTCCAAACCACCCTGTTGCTAACTGCAGCATCCAAAGCAGGGCCTGACCGAGCCCCACAAGATCTCAGTTGCATGGCTGCACTCTCCTCCCTGCCCCAAGCCACCGGATCCATCCACCCTTCCCCGTCACGGCGCTGCCAGGATCTGGAAGTGAGCTGTGCTGTCGTAAGGACGTATCGCAGGCTACGCACGCGCACGCACCTTCAAACAAAAACATCTCCACTTCTTAGTTCGTGGTCCCGGCGCGTGATGCCTTGGAGTCACACCGGGAAGCCAAGTAGGGTGGTGCTCTCCCCTGCCTTGGGGGTCTTCAAGAGGAGGTTGGATAGATATCTGGCTGGGGTCTTATGATCCCAGCACTCGTTCCTGCCCAGGGCAGGGGGTCGGACTTGATGATCTGCTCAGGTCCCTTCCGACCCCAGCAACTACGAAAGCCAGGAATAAATGGGAATAACACTGGTCTCGCTAGCACACGGGGAACTCACCGATGCCCAGGTACTGCTTAGAGACCCACAGAGGGAAACGAAGCTCGTGCTTATATTAAAGAAGCCCCCAGGACGACGTGCACCTCTGCCACACACTTCACAGGCACAGACTGGCAGCGTAAGCCTGGCCCTGCACCCACTTGCTTGCCCAGCGGAAAGCCTCCTCCATGGGAACAAGGCCAAAGAAGAGCCCTCCGCCTGGCACCAGAGCACCCGGGAAGGGGGCTGGCATGCCCTGGGGCGGGAAGCCAAGGCGGGGGCTGGAGCTCCTCTGCACCCAGCCCGGCCTCCCCGCAAGACCCGGCCCGGGGCTGCTCCCCCAGGCTCCCGGGGCGGCAGGACGCGGCTCTCACCCGTACACGTCGGTGCAGAGCTGGGTGCCCAGCA